TGTCGTCCCGTAGTCCCAAATTAAAAACACATAGAAGCAACACAATAATACCCAATTAAATGCAAAATTTCGTACCAATTAACAGTTAATTTTACCCTAACATGCTTCACGTAATGCAGTTAAGGCAGTTTAAGCAGATAGGCAATTAAATCAACTAAACATGATTTTCTAAACTATAACAGGCTAAATTCGCAAGTAGAATAAAGCAGGAAAAAGGAACTCAATTGAAATACTTAAAAGTAAAACTGAATTTTCAACAATTAACTTGAGTAAGCACTCGTCACCTCACGTACAAGGCATCTCAATTACCAAATATATCATATCCTAAGGGGAAGGTCCCCCACACAAGGTTAGACAAGCCACTTACCTCGAACCGGCTCCAAAATCAACTCGAAACCACACGTTTGCCACGAGTATCCGACTCCAAATGGCCCAAATCTATTCAATTCAATTACATATCGTAAATAACATCTCAAGCAACTAATTCTACGATTTAATTCAAAGGTAAGACGCGAAATTAGGTAAAATAACCAAAATTCCCCTCAGGCCAACATCTCGGAATCAAGTAAAATTAACATTTTCAGAAACCTCGTACTCTCACGAGTCTAACCATATAAAAATCTCTCAAATCGGATGTCAACAACCCATTCAAAACTCAATAATTCGGCCTAAGAAGTTTCTTCCAATTTTCCCAATTTTTAATCCCCAATACGAATTTAGATGATGAAATTAACTATATATTGATGGAATATAACTAGAAAGGGGTAAAGAATCGTTACCCAATGATCTTCTCTTCAAATCCCTCTCAAAGTCGCCCTCTCCCGAGCTCCAATTTGATTTTTCTAGCTTTTGAAACTAAACCCTTGAAGTTCATATTTCAGCCCAGTGATTTCTGCATCTGCGGTCAAGGGACCGCATCTGCGGTCCCGCTTCTGTGGAACATTGGTCGCATATGGGATTTTCATTAAATGGCATAGGAGTCGCATCTGCGATACTACTTTCGCAGATGCGAAACCGCATCTGCGGTGGAACTTCCGGATCTGCGGACACTAAAGGGACACCCAAATTCCGCTTCTGCAGTCTCCAAAGCTGCATATGTGATCCTTAAACCGCAGATGCGAAAATACCAGAAGCAGCAAAAAAAATCTGCAACTCTTCAACTTAAATATTCTTCCGTCAACCATCCGAAATCACCCCGAGGCCTCCGGGACCTCAACCAAAAGCACAAATATCACCTAATACCTTATTCAAACTTGTACCAATCCTTAAAACACCTAAAACAACATCGAAACTCGAATTAATCAAGGATTTAAGCCTAAGAACTCCAATTTTTCCTCAAAATACGCTTTCGATCAAAAACCTAACCAAACTACGTCCGAATGACCTGAATTTTACACACACATCTCAAATGACATGACGGATCTACTGCAACTTTCTGAATTGCATTCCGACCCTCGGATCAAAATCTCACCATCGGACCGAAAATTTCAAAAATTAAACTTCGGCATTTCAAGCCTAAATTAGCTACGGACCTCCAAAACACAATCCGAACACGCTCCTAACCCCAAAATCACCTAACGGAGCTAACAGAACTATCAGATTTCCATTTTAAGACCGTCTTCATACTGTTCTGACTACGGTCAACTTTTCAACACTTAAGCTCTTATTTAGGAGCTAAGTGTCCCAAAACTCTTCGAAACTCAAAACCGAACATCTCGGCGAATCAAATTAGCAAAATTAAACTTGGGGAAGTAGTTAATAGTGGATCAGGGCATTAATTCTTAAGACAACCGGCCGGGTCATCACAAAGAGTTTGTAGATGTTTTACAAAAAGTTACTTGAATACATGTAAAGTGTTATATAATTTGAAAGTTCAAAATACAAAACTTCCTCAAATTATTCACAAAATTTCTTTAAAATATGTATCTTCCTACTTCTTTCATATGTATACACCAATATGAAGTTCAAACGTCTTCTTCATTAGTGTCATTTAATAAAGGGCCCACTTTGATAAAAAAAAATTGTGTCTATTCAAAAATCACGAAATACTAAAGCTTTTTTAAATGCAAATTTAAGAGTAGAACAAAAACTCAAAAAATATATTATATATTAAACTTGGCCAAAACTAAGTATGAACTTAGTTAAAACCAAGGTACTTTAATAATAAACCCCAAAACATACCAGGGGTAAAAACTTGCCAATTGTTCAAAAAAGAAAAGAAAAAAAGAGAAACAAACTTCCCAACTAAAAGTTCAAAGAACACTATGGGGCAGGATCTAAAGCAGTACTATCAGCAGCAAGAGAGGCGGAATTCAATGAAGCATCATCAATAATGGGAGAAGACACAACTTGAGTAGAAGAGGTTTGAACATCAACTTCACCAGGAGTAAGTTCATCACCTTCGGGAACGCCGACCTCAGGTGAGGAAAGGTTCTGACATTGCTGAGTTTTTCAATAGTTTCCTTAGCTTTTGCAATCTCAGCAGTCAAGTCAAAGCCTTCCTGGCTAGCCTTCATCAAAGTCTTAAGACGCATATTCAAAAAAGCCCAACTTACATCAAGAGTTACTTTATCTTCAAGAGCCTCGTAATCTTTTTCCCATTGCTCAATTTCAGCCTCCAACTCTTTTCTTTCAGCCAAAGAAGCATCATAAGAAGCCTTCAAAGGGGTGAATGATCTCTCCAAGAACTGGATCCTATCTGATGATGCACGAAGGTCTTCCTAAGCCTGAGTGAGTATTTGAACAAGCTCCCTGGTGTAAAAATCCTTCTGATTAAGCAAGTCTTTCAAACCCCTAATTTCTTCAGTAGCTTTAAAAAGTTGCTCCGCAAATGAAGACTCAAGAATATCTTTGTCTTTACCCACTTGACTGGAAGAGGCTTTTTTAATTGCCAGTTCTGATGCCATCACTTGTACTTGTTGCTCCAAAGCACACTTCTCCTCATCCAAAACTTCTTTTTCCAACTGAAGACTCTCGTACTGCTCTCTCCAATTATCTGCTTCCATACGATAATCATTGACTAGCTACTTGGTATTGACAATTCTCTTCATAAGCTTCGTGCCTATCAAATTGATCTACACAAGAAAGAAAAGAAGTGATTATCGAACAAAGGTAAAAATCACGAGGGAAGTAAAAAAAAGTTAAAGCTTGTACCTTCAAATATGAATGAACAATATCATTCATCTATGTTAAAGAACTGTGGCTTTCTAACTTGGGCTTCTCAATTGGGCCAATTAAAGGTTTTAGCCATACATCAGCTTGACCATACTTTTTCAAAAGATTACCATCCTCTGGGACTTCAATGGTAACTTTTTCATCCTATTTCTACTGGAAGAACCAACTTTGACACGAGAAGTGGTAGCAGTAGGGACAGTTGAGGAAGTGAAAACAGCCACGACAGTGTTGTCAAAGGCGAAAAATGCAAAAAAACGACAAGGGTCATTGGGGCTTAAAGCGCAAAACGCATCAAAGCGTGAGTTTTAGTGCAAAAAAGCGCAATATAACAAATAGTAAAAAATATATTTACATATCACGTAATAAAAACATAAGTGACAAATATATTTAAAATTAGAGCAATGTAATATTATTTTTATCAATGTAGCAAAATTATGGTGAAAAATATGATAAACTATCAACTAAACAAAATCAACTATTTTACTTCTAAAGTTTAATCACTAGCATTATCATATGCATCTATATTGTCATCTTCTTCTTCAATAGGATTACTCTCATTGGTATCGCTAGAATTATAGCCTTCAATATCTTCTTCCTCTGATTCCTCAAACTCAACATCATCTATATCTATATTAATACGTCGAACTTGAGAGCTTGAAGAATCGGTTGCCAAAGTTTTTGATGGTCTCCTTTGTCTCATTAAGTATGAGTATGTTTGTGCATCTTCACTTCCTGATGCTCTAGCCACATCGCCCCAAATTAAGTCATCATCTCCCCAAACACCAATTCATTTTCCGCTTCAAAATTTACACCCATTTCTCCAACCAACCACTCATTACTATGATCAATATGATCCATTGAGATTGGATCAATGATATTCTGCAAGTCAAAGCGAGTTCTTAGAGCACGATTATACTTGACATACACTACATCATTCAATCTTTTATGCTCTAATCTATACCTCTTCTTGCTATGGATCTGCACATGAATTATGTTATGTTATTGTTAGTAAAATTGTAAGTTTGTATTAATTAACCAAATAAATTAAAATAGCGAATAGTTATATGTAACTAATGTCTAATAAAAACTCACATGTTCAAACACACTCCAATTACGCTTGCAACCAGCTAAACTAGCGGTTAAGCTCAAGATTCTAATGGCTAATTTTTGGAGATGAGGGGTTGAATTTCCATATAGATTCCACCATTCAGTTGAAAAAGATATAACTTAGTGGTAAGTAAATATTGAACATGAAGCTTTGAAGTGTTAATTGTAAACATTGAATTTTAATATACCTGGAGATCTCATTGCTCTTGATCTTTTTGCCATGGGAAGTCCATATTATCCCTCAGCTCTTGTATATAATGGTAACTCAGATACAATCTTATCTTGAACTTCAATACTTGGAACCAATTTCTGAATACAAGCATATAGTCCATTTGTTACTTCTCTAAATTCTCAATGGCTAGATCTTGATAGAAATACTCGGGATTCAAATAATGTCCAGTGACATGTAATGGTTGATGCAATTGGCATTCCCATCTTTGATCAATGATCTCAAAAATATCTTTGTACCTCGTAGACTTCCCTTCAAATGATTTTGCGATGGCTTCTTTAGCTCTATCCATAGCTTCATAAATATATTACATAGCAGGGTTTTTCTCATTGTCAACTAATCGTAAGACTTTAAAAAGAGGTCCCATTATCTTCAGTATATAAACAACTTGATTCCAAAATACATGCATCAATATAGTATGAGTTGTAACTTTTCCCTGTGGTTTTTTTTACCATTTATTATTCACCCAATGCTCAGATGTAATCATGGTTCACAAATTAGTCTTTTGATTATACAACCTCTGCAAAGTTAGAAAACTCGTAGCAAATCGAGTAATTCCACATTTCACCAATTCTCTTTTCTTTGTGAGGTCTCTCGTCATATTAATGACTCCTGTATGACCATAGATGAAACCAACAATTGCAATTGCTCTTTTGAAGGTTCTCGTAATAGTTGGAAGCTTGCCTATGTCTTCTAAAATAAGATCTATACAATGAGCAACACAAGGCATCCAATATATGTGTTTTCTCTTTATTTGTAGGAGCTGGCCTAAAATAAAAAAAATACTTAAATATATTATATACTATAATATATGAGAGATCAAAGCTTGAGCATTCTTAAAGTAAATACTTACTGGCCAATATAAAGTTGTTGCCATTATCACTTACAACTTGAACTACGTTTTGCTCTCCAACACGCTCCACATATCTATCAAGTAGCTCACATAGTTTCTCTACAGTTTTGACAAATGAAGATGTATCAATGGACTCCATAAACACGGTACCATATGGAGAATTCACCAAAAAGTTTATTAATGTTCTTTGCTTCCTATCTTTCCTTCCATCTACCATAATGGAACATCCATGCTTTACCCATTCTTTTCTATGTCGATTTAAAAGTTTATTAGTAAACTCTACCTCCTTATTTAGTAATGGAATCCTTAATTCATGATAACTGGGAGGCTTCAAATTTGGTCCATGCCTTCCAATAGCATCAACTGCCTCCTTAAAACTTTTCAGACGAGCAACATTGAATGGTATGCCAACATCGTAAAAGAAGCGAGCAACTCTTTGAATACCCATTGCTCTTGCTTCTTTGTCATATGAATCTTTGATACCCGTCTGCCTAAGTTGCCTTTGACTTTGCAAATATACATCCATAAGGCATTTTCCTTTACCTTTAGTTAATTTCTTATTAAGGCCACCAGGAAAGCTTCCCCCACCACCTTTTCTTTTAGGAATGATTTCCTGAATTTCATCCTCTTTCACCAATATCTTGATGATCAAACTCATCATGTTCAGGATACTCTCTACCATAAATATCTTTCCTTACTTTCTTTTCCTCCATGTAAGCTTGCAATTCTTCTCGAACTTCATGAGGACATTTGGTACACTTTGTTGTATTTCTGAAATTCCCAACTAGATATTGTTTTGCCCGATTTATTTCGCCTGTAGTTGTTTTCCCCCAAAAAAATTACAAGTAACTCTTGTGGTATCATTAGGATCGATCAAGTGATTATATTTCCAATCGGAATCCTTTTGATTACCACGAGATAAATCCTCTGCCATTTTATTTCTAATATAAATCAAAGATATAAAGTTAAGTTAATTGTTATAGCATAATCGGCTTTGGAAATATGCTAATTAAATTTTCTACGTAATTATATTTTCTATGGAAATATGCTAATTACATTTGTAGACATGTGATTTTTGACCCTCCCCAAGATTTTTTACATTTTAGCGTAAAATATTTAGTTTATGCCTAATATAGTTATTTCAACTAATTTTGAATCCTTTTGCTTTATTTTATCACAAAAAATGAAAATTACAAAAAATATTTTAGTTTACATATCTTCGTGAATTTAAATAAAAAAATATACAAAAATAGTACCTTATTTTTATTTTTATATAATCTTGAAAACACAAAAAATAATTTTATATTTTATAGTTTAGTTCAATTAATTAAAATTAATTTTATATTTTTATATTATAATTGTACATAATTTTAGAAGGAGGAATTAGTTTTAGATCGGTTTATCCCGTCTTTATAAATCTTGTAGTCCATTTTCTTAGTCTTTGGCTCAATTCCCTAGCCCATAAACTCTAGGCCCATACCCCTAACCTAATCTCTACCCCTATATAATAGTATAACACCTAAAATAAAGGTAGACCCCAAAAAAATATATCAGCAGCTACACCATAAAGAAAAGCCATCTCCATTTTTGGCAAAGGGGATAGACGATTCTCAGATTTAGTACTAAAAATATCCCTAAGGTTCAATTGAACAAAGAAAGATCGATAGCAACATTGTGTGCGTAAGAGAGAGAGAGATCGACTATATTGACATCTTTACATATTTCTCTCGTTCTCGTTTTCGACCTCGCGTTAGCCAAGGGTCTTTGGGAAGCTTTGCTCAATTGGCTTCGAAGTGCTTAAGTCCAAAATCGGAATTTGGAAACAGCAAAAACCCACCATCCTTTTCTTCTTTGTTGTAAGCTCTGAGAAGTTTCAAGTCCAATTTGTTACTCTCACTTTCGGTCCTTTCCGAGATAGACAAACGCAGTCATTTCTCCATCACTCGTTCAGCGTAGTCCAGACCCGTCCAACTATGGGTATCGATTTGAAAGCCGTGGAGGGTGTTTGATTTTGTGGAATTGCTATTCGAGTTTTCCGGTCGTATTTTGCCGTCGTCGCTTATTTTAACTGATGTAATTCACCAAAGATTTAATTGAAAGTTTTGACAGGTTCATCTTTTTACTCCTATTTATTTCATTAACGGAAGGTGTTTGTGAGCTAGTTTATATACTAGTCTGTGATGCAATTTTCTCGTGAATTTTACTGATTTTCCATTTGTTTGGCGTATTTGACTGAACTAGTCTAGTTGTGAAATTGGGAAAATTTGACAAGTACCTAATTTTCTTTGACATGCTCTGTTTCGACACTTTGCTCTGAAGAAAGAAATAAAATTATTAACATCACTAATGGAGAGTGCAAATACTGGACATGGCTTATAAATTTGTTTAAGGATTTGCTTAACCACAATAAATCAATTTTTTCAGAAGAGAATGTATAGTTAATAGCTTATGGACTATATTTTCTAAGACTAAACATAATTATAGCATTTAGTGTATTACTTGTCTGTGTAAATGAGATACCATAGTTAATAGATTTAATTTCCATATGTACGGTTGGCTTGTTTATAGGAAGTTGTTTTCGTTTTGTTTTTGCTTATTCTTGTTTGCTAAGGCTGATGCTATTTCGGTTGAAATTGGTCGACGAGAGATGTATCCAATCGCGATGTGCCTCTTCATTAGTTTGTTTTAGGTGCGATTAATAATAAATTGTCATAGCTACGGGTATGGTTCCCGTGACGTGGTCATGACACTTAATTTCTAAAAACCCAGGGTACATTTATGTGACTCAGCTATAATTTAATTTTGTTAATAAAATAAACCATCGTGATTATGGGTACGGTTCTAGTGACATAGTTACGATGCCTAATTTTCAAATTCAGGTGTGCATTTATGTGACCCAAATCCAAATCTCAACAACGTTAGATAAAATATGTCGTGGATCACGGGTGCATTTATGTGACGTGGTTCAAGACGTGTTTTAGATGACGTCAATTTTTCCTTAAAAATAATTAAAAGTGGTTATAAAGTTTGAAATTGAACCATAGGCTAAAACATGTATTAAAATCAAGTAAGTAGGCCAATAATAACAGTTGAGCGACCGTGCTAGAACCATGGAACTCGGGAATGCCTAACACCTTCTTCCGGATTAACAGAATTCCTTACTCGGATTTTTGGTTCGCGGATTGTAATACAGAGTCAATCTTTCCTCGATTCGGGATTTTAAACCGGTGACTTGGGACACCATAAATTATCCCAAGTGGCGACTCTGAATTTTTAATAAATAATTCCGTTTCGATTGTCACTTTAAGTTGAAAAAAACTCACTTATACACCTTCTGGGGGTGTAGGTAAAAAAGGAGGTGTGACAATATTTTCTATAGTAAATAATTGTTTCAATCTATTCTGTAAATTGTAATTATATTTTCTATAGTAAACAATTGTTTCAATCTATTCTGTGAATTGTAATTTATAATTTGTACTTTGTAATTTTGTTTTAAAAATGTATGTTGCCTTAAAATGTTTTTTAATGTACAATTCTTATATCCCTAAAGCAAAGCAAAGAGAAAAGAAACTTTAATGTAAATCAAGATAATAAGTCCGACCGATCGTTTCATGAGTTACCGTTCCGTTTCACCCATTTCTGCTTCTGTATATCTTGTTCAGCTGTATTTCATCGCATCATGTTGGTTAGTTTGGGTTTGGTGTGGTTTAGTAGATAAATGATACACTAAGTCTCTTAAGTTAGCCTTTTTGTTGGAAAAGTAAACCGGAAGTTAACTTGTGAGTAAACGATCTCGGAATTTGGTTTTTATGATTCGAATAACTTCGGGAGGTGATTTGGGACTTAGGAGCGTGATCGGAATGGGTTTTGGAGGTCCGGGGTAGATTTAGGCTTGAATTGGCGAAATTGGAATTTTGGCGTTTTCAGTTGGTAGTGGAGATTTTGATATAAGGGTCAGAATGGAATTCCGGAAATTAGAGTAGGCCCGTGATGTCATTTGTGACGTGTGTGCAAAATTTCAGGTCATTCGGACGAGGTTTGATAGACTTTTTGATCGAAAGCAGAATTTAGAAGTTTTGGAATTCATAGGCTTGAATCCGAGGGTGATTTGGTGTTCCGGCGTTGTTTTGAGTGTTCCAAGGGTTGGAACAAGTTTTTATAGTGTTGTGCGACTTGTTGGCATGTTTGGTTGAGGTTTTGAGGGCCTCGGGATGGATTTGGATGGTTGATAGAGAGTTTGGATTTTTGGAGTAGCTGTAGAATTCTCTGCTCCTGTTGTTTCCGCACCTGCAGATTAGGGACCGCAGGTGCGACAACGCAGAAGCGTAGTAAGGGCCGCAGATGCGACCAAGAGTGTGAAGGGTAGGAGCCGCAGAAGCAGAGAGCTGAGTGCACCTGCGATGGCGCATGTGTGGGTATTTGACCGCAAATGCGGTTTTGGGCGGATAAGTGACTTCCGCAGGTGCGACCCGTTGGACCGCAGGTGCGTGTTTGAGACCGCAGGTGCGGAATCCCTAGGCCAGAGCCTTTATAAGGTTTCCTTCGCGATTTTCAGCTTTGTTTCACCATTTTTAAGTTGGATTGGGAGCTTTTTAGGAGATTTTGAAGAGGGAATTCAACGGAACTTCGTGGAGGTAAGATTCTTGGAAATAAAACTCGTTTCTATGGTGTTATTCACTGATTAGACATGGAATCTACGGAAATTAGTGGTTTAAAAATTAGGGGTTTAGTGTTTGAAATTGGAGACTTTGATTTAGGGATTTGAGGGGTCGTTTGTGGTCATATTTTGATGTATTTGGTATGTATGAACTCGTGAGAGTGTAAGGATTCTAGTTTAGTATTTTTAGTAGAATTCGAGACGTGGGCCCGGGGGTCAGATTTGGTTAATTTCGGGATTTTTTTTATGTAGATTAGTTATTTTCGAGTTGGCTTTGTTCGCTTAGCATATTTTGACGATATGAATATGTTTTTGGTTAGATTTGGAGCATTCAGAGGCCGAGTCAATAGGCAAAGGCATCGCGGGCTAGAGTTTGGACCGGATTAAGGTAAGTAATGATTGTAAATGTTGTCCTGAGGGTATAAAACCCCGGATTTCACATCGTTGAGCTGCTTTAAGGTGACACACATGCTAGATGACGAGGGTGAGATCGTGCACCATTGGGGATTGTGACATAGTCCGTCCCGTACGACTGTTAAGTAACTGTTTGATATCATTGTGTTTTGGAAAGTATTATGATGTTTTGGGTTGAATGTCATATTTGGGCATCGTGCCAACTGTTTTGGACCCTTATGGGCTTTTTACTGCTATTCCTCACTGTCTCGACTTAATATCTATACTCAGTCATGTTGTATTCTACTATTTTCATAACTCAGTCGTATTTACTTCGTTTTGATATTTTTAAATGATATTTTGAGCTGAGCATCTGTTTTATTGTGGCCCGAGTGGCTTGAGAGATTTCTGACTGAGTGAGGCCAAATGCCTGTATTTTGAGGATATCATGGGATCGGGTTGCGTATCGCAGCATGTGTATTGATTTATGATATATGAGAGGCCGATGGCCTGATTTGTTATGCCACGAGATGGCTTATGATAGCACTTGGGTTGTAGGAGCCCCTCCGGAATCTGAACATCCCTAGTGAGCGTGGGTACCCAGTGTGAGA